ATATATATATATATATACTAAAATAAACTACTACTTACTACTTGTACTACTATTCCTATTTTGCGTTTTTTCACTTATCGCGGGGCTTCAGGGGACAGATCCCTCGCAATAAACGAGGAACTACTGTAGTTAATAAGCTCTGTTCATGAGACATTATGATTTGTGTATACAGAAGTGAAAAGAAGGAAGTCCAGTGAAATAATGTGACAGAAATGACCGTCTTGAGAAGAACAAAAAGAAAACACTTTGAAGAAACATAAAAGTTTATTTTGCTGAACTGTGTGCTTGTGTAGCTCTAGACTAGATCTATATCTATATTTAGTGCAGAAATACGTTCAAACGGAGTTGTTCATCTTAAATTTGACCCATTTCAGATTCAGATTCTACTTCTAAAGAAGCAGCACTACAAGGCAATTATCAATCAAGTCATTGTTTATGAACAACTCACATTGCAGTGTTTTTGATTATGCGTCCCTGGTCCATCTTCTGTCCGATTCCATGCACGACAAAGACAACATGTGTAGTGTGAGGAGGTCTGTCTTCTGGTGAGGCCTCCTCAACAAACCCCCGATGGAGCCGTGTGCCACTGCTCGACGCTAAAACAGGAGTGACAGGAAGATTGGATGCTAATATTGTAGTTCTAAAATGATTTTATTAGAAAAACATACTTCCCTTAAGCATTCTGTGTACAATACTCCCAAACAACAAATGTTCTTCACTCAGAGACTATTTATGGCAGAGTTACTTAGAGCCAGAGTAACGAGGTGTGTTGAGGCCAAGCAGGTTTGAAGGTGAAACACGAAGCCCTCCTGTGACCAGAGGTGTGGCTGTCATGTGAGGCTGAGTGTGTTTTACTTAAAACCTTTCATCTAATCAAGTTACGTGCTACACAGAAAGGTGATAGGAGCTAACCAGCTGTCTGAGGAGAGAGATCATTTTACAGAGCGTGTTAGTCAAGGAAGGCTGAGGTAACCAGTCACACCTCCTCTTAAAATCTGTAAACCAGACACGATCAGCACAGATTACCGTCATTAATCCTGATTGAATCAAATACTAAGAAAGTCAAACTGCATTTAACATCTTTTCACTTACACTTGGAGCACAACGGGTCAAACATAGGCCCTGCGACTGATTGGGTAATTATTTTGAAGGAGTTTAACTGTACTCCTGTTTGTTTTTAAGTTTGCCATTAAAGGTATATCGATTAGGCATAGAGCATAAAGTTTATATATATGCTGATGACATGCTTTTGTATGTCAGATCCTCTTACTAGCGTTCCTGAGTTTGCTCAGGACTTTACTTTTTTACGTTGTTTCAAAAATTCAGGAGAATATCTGACTATAAGGTTAATCTTCAGAAGAGTGAGCTGATGCCTGTGACCTCTATAGAAAAGACAATTTTAGACACTGTACCATTTAAAATTAGTTTTAAAACATTTGGATACCTTGGCATTTGGGTAACAAGAGCGCATAAGAATCTCTGTAAAACTAATTATCTACCCGTCATGGCAAACCTTAAGCAAAACATTGTTAGATGTCAATACCTACCTCACACCCTGGGAGGTAGAATAAACTGTCAAAATTAATATTTTACCTAAATTTCTGTACCGTATTTTCTGCCGTACACGTCGCACCGCCCTATAAGTCAAATCAATCCAAATATGTTTAATGAAGTAAAAAAAAATACATTAATACGTAACTTCGCCGTATACATCTCATCTCAAGTGAGTTGAAAAGGATGTTCTGTGGACGCATTCTCATCTACCTGCCAGCTGTGCTCAAGTGCCTGACCAATGAGATCCTGGAACTAGCAGGAAACACGGCTCATGACAGTGGAAGGACAGGATCGTCCCTCGGCACCTACAGTTGGCTGTCCGCAGCGACGAGGAGCTCGGCAAACTGCTGGGAGGAGTGGCCAAACTGGCCATCTCTCTGGGAGGAGTTCTGCCCAGCATTTGGGTGGTCCTACAGCCCGAGGGGAACCGAAAGGTCAGCCAAGTCTGGGTGGACGGATCGGATGGCAGGTGCAGCCAGTTTCTTAGGATCCACTGTGGGATGGACCTTTACAAGAGATCCTTCCTGTCTACAGCATCAGCATCTATAACATCTCTTAATGAAATGAGGATAATGAGTTACAGCAACAAATAAGTTCCCTCTGGGATTAATAAAGTATTTTTGAATTGAATTGAATCTATTTGCGTCACCGCTAATGAGTCGTGTTTGTTACGAGTCACCACTGACCACCCGGAAACACAGGCCATTGTTGTGCCAAAAATTGATTGGCTGTCAAATGGCAGCTGCGGGAGTGTGCACAGGAGGACTTTAACAAGAATCTAACAAGATTAAAACTTAAAAACAATTATTTGTTTGCTCGAAATTATAGCAAAGGTGTGTCAGTCTAACTTTTCCTTAATAAATGCACTTTGACGGTCCAATCAGCTGAATTTCAAAAGTCGATTCGCGGGAGCGAGAGCGTGCAGAGGGACGAATCGTGCAATTCTTCAAAATTTTACAAGATAACCACCTAAAAACAATTATTCGTTTGCTCGACTTTATAGGCCCAGGCCTCCCTTGCAAAAGAGATGTGTGATCTCAATGGGACTTGCTTGGTTAAATAAAAGGTTAAATAAAATTATAGTAAAGTTGTGTCTCAGTTGAACTTTTATTTAATAAAAGGACTTCAACGGTCAAATCAGCTGTATTTCAAAAGTATTCGCTGCAGTGGGAGGAAATCAGGAAAGAGGAACGCTACGCATTTCTTTGAAATTTAACATGATAAGCACCTAAAACAATTGTTTGTTTGCTCGATGTTATAGCAAAGATGTGTCTCAGATAAACTTTTACTTAACAAATGTACTTTAATGTTCAAATCAGCTCATTTCACCCAGACGGTGCAGCGAAATGAAGCTGATTTGACGGTTGCTCCAGGTGAGCTGGACGAAGTTGGCAGGCTAGCAAGCTAATTGTGTCATTAATAGCCACTTTTACCCATTAAATGACACAACAGCATGCCAAACAACTTGAGTGCCATCTAGCAGCTGAAAATGATAGTGTTCAGTATTTTCATTTAAAATGAATGAAAACGGTCGTATCTTGGCCAAAAAACTGGTTTATAAATATGGAAAAAAAATCCATAAATAAGTCGTTTCAGAGTATAAGTCGCAGGGCATGTAAATTGTGAAAAAAATGTGACTTGTAGGCTGAAAAATGTGGTATTTGTATTGTATTTGTTTTGTTAAGGATTGCAAATGTAGTGATAAATACATTTTCCCACATTTTCAGTGAGCAGAAAAGTACTTCTCAATGAGAAAACACAGTTTTCCTACACTTATTAGTCCTAAGATTAATATTTTTGTATTAATATTTACATTATAGCAGTAGCTCATATCAAAAGCACAGGAAATGTAGTCACAAGTCATAAAATGAATACTGCTCCAACAGTAGGTTTCAGACTACAGGGTTGACAAACAAAAGGTACTGCATGGCCGAGATAATCGTATCTGTAAAAGAAGATAAAGCAAAGAGATCATACAAACCTTTGGAGAAGCCCAGTTTCTGGGTGACGGTGCGTGCAATTTTAGAAGTGGTAGCATCGCTGTAAAGGTATACCTCATCCACGCTGTGCCAATCCACGTGGGTTCGACTCAGCTTAAAACTGTGGATGGCTGCAGGGGTGGTGGAGAGACAGAAGAAATGTAATTAATTAATGGAGAGGGAGGAACTGGAAATGAACTGGGACAGGGAATGAGTAATCTGGTAAAGAGAAAAAATTCAATGCACACAAAAGAGGAGAAAATCTCCATGTATAAAAGCTGAAATAGCACGTTATAAACATAATACAAAATTAGAGATAGAATAAGAATTACACCAAAGGTCTCAAACGGCTCAATCAAATGCAGCTTGAAGCATTGATCTGCAATCAAAAAAAACACGTCACACAGCAGGATAGCATATTTCAGCTCTTGCTTGTCTTCCTGCTTCCATGTCATCCAATTGATAATTTCTCATGAAGTGGTGTTTTAAAATAAAATAAAAAATTGCACTCTTTTATTAAGGGCTTTCTCTCAGTGTATTAGGCAGTGACCGAGGCAAGTAAGAGCAGAGTTTTTGGTAGAGAGAAACCAAGTGACACCAACAAAAGCCAAGAGTTATACGTGGAGGTGGTTGACTTAGAGCTTCAGATTTGCTGGAAGCAAAGTCCTCATCATTGTGTCCTTTACATGCCACCTGGATGAATTTGTCAAAAAGAGGTGGCGACCTTCCAGCACATAGTCATGACTCTTTGTACTACTCTGAACCAAAGAGGGATTTAAAACCTTTAAAAAGATCAAGTTCTTGGAAAAATGTGTTCCAGCACAAGTTTTGGGTTAAACATCAAACAATGCAATTACATAACTAATGTACTGTAGAACCATTCCCATGAAAGTTGAAACTATTCTTTAACTGCCACAAAGTAATGAAGATAGTCTTAACTAGATTATCTAAACAATCTAGTTGAGACTTTTGCCTTTTATTTAACAATGATATTCTCTTTTCCTCTCCATTAAAGCCAAGACTGGTGACAAACGCAGGCAACATGTTGGATGCACGGTCTCATCCCACCAGCTGAAGACTGTAGCTCCTTCAAAGTGGTCACAGGCGTCTCGGTGGCTTCTCTCATCAATTTCCTTTTCACAGCCCTCAGTTTGAGAGGAAGGCCTACTCTTGCACACATGTCCCATGTTCCTTCTGTTTCTACACAGTGGACTTAGCAGAACTCCTGGAGATGTTTAGGGTCTAGGAAATCCTTTTGTATCCATGCCCTGGTGTGTACTTTAATAGTCTCTTCTCTGAGTTGAATTAGGACAGTCATTTTAAAGGGAGTGAATATTAGTGCATTTTTAAGAGGTTCATGCATACTGACCATAACTGACTGTTAACAATAAAAGCATAAAACATCCAAGGGGGTGAATACTTTTATAGGCACTGTAAGTCCATTACTTTGGAACAGGTAAATCTAGACCACTTTCCTTCACAGTCTCATTACGTTTATCGTAAAATAGTATTTTTGTGTTTAATTTCTCTAAATATTTAGGTATCTTGTGTCAAAATATTCCCCAACCACATTTCTTCTTCAAATGAAATGTTCCCGACAAACCTTACAGCCTTTATTCAAACATTTAACTGTTCTTGAACCAACTGTACACATTTTAGAAATCTTGATGTCTTCCCTCCTCTGCTGCATATCAATAAGTTAGCGACACTTTCAACACCACAGAGTGACTTGAATATTGTTCAAGAAGTCACTCACTACATCTATTAAATACAAATCTATTTCAATAACTTTGTAGAAACTAAGGCAATGTAACGACAGTGATGTACTTTCACACGTTATATATTTTTAGCAAATGGTTTATAATGAATTTCTCGAGCTCCTTTTTTGTTGAATATAGTTGTGATTTGGCAACGTAGAAGAGCACTTCCTGTTTCTAATGAAATACAGAACAGTGTGAAAGGAAGTGAGAATGAAAGGATCAAGGTTGAAGTGTCCAAAGGAGCAGGCAGTAAAATGTTTTGTGACCCTGCTCTCCAGCACAAATACATAAATTACTGATGGACAAAATAAATTTATAGATTCCTAAGGATAATGTGTGCCACGATAAAAAATAGAAGCTAACTGTTGAACTAAAAAAGGAATAAGTAACAAAAAGAATGACTGGGACTAGGAAAGATCAAGGCGCTCCTCTTAGTATAATGTCCTAGAACTGTGCTGTGAAAAATGTAAATGTTATTTTATTACATAACGTATTTATGCTTCAAATGTGATGAAACTACTATAATAGTAATGAAATAAATACAAAAAAAACCTGCAAGTTATACGAGTCATAACAAAGCCCCTTGTTCACATTGACTTTGACCTTGCACACTAGTCTTTAGGTCAACATCCACTTCATTTTACTGCAAGATGAGATTTCTCTATTCAGTTCATCCAGAAATGAGAGTGATGGACCTCAGAGTAAATATACACAAGAGTTATAGTATAATACTGAAGGACTACAATGGCTCCACTTTGCATCTCAATTGTTCTTTGCTCTCAATAGAAAGCTTTCTATTGAACTGATGACGGTGGTTCATTAAAGCTACACTGCTCCAATGAATGAAAGAGAGAAAACAATGAGACAAAGTGGAAAACAAAGCTAAATTTAAAAAAGCCAAGCACAAGGGAGGTTGATGAATAACTTATTGCAGTTCCAATGGTTGAGGGTTTTGTCCTTGTGCTTGAGCGAACCATGTTGTCTTCTTACTATTCCAGCAAGGAGATGCACAAGATTCCTCAAAAAAAGCAGCAATAGTAGCACTGAAGTCTGGATCACAGCACACAAAGAGACTTCTAGCATCTAGGCCCAGTTAAAGCAGTCATGAGAGAGTCTAATCAGTTTAGTTCAACTTTATCTAACTGAGCCTAGGTCTAGTTCTAAATATAAGACTTCAAAAGATTTGAACCACAAAAGAAAGAAAAAGGTACTCCAACAGAGACCTAGCATCTACGGGGAAGGGGAGGAAGCTAAAAGAGCTAACACAACAAAAGTAAACAGAAGACTTGGCATTTCACCGTACCTTGGCAGCGTTTGCGCTTGTGACATGTAGTTTTAGCACTCGTCTGATATCCACTCCATTTGAACAGAAAAGGGAGGTAGAAAGGGGGCAGGTGGGAGAGAACTAACAACCAACAAAGAGTGAGTCCATTTGCAGTCACATTAGACTTTTTGTCAATAATAACCAGCCAACCTGTTAAACATCACTGCAATCAGGTTACAATGGTACTCTCTAATCAGAACAAAACGTCTGTTCTCGTTACCGTAAGAACACGTAACAAACATGCTGTAAATGAATAACACAGTTTGAGTGAAGGTAAGTCTACAACTTACAACCCAGCGGTTTTACTAACTCTGTACCTTCGATGACTAAAGTAGCATGTTGTTTGCTCTCATTACACGATTCTACAAAGTGGAGAAAACAGCATTTCCCTTTATGTACTTGTGTTTCCACCTAGGCCTGTCACGATAATAAATGTTGCTGGGCGATTGTCTCAGAAATTATTGTGATAAATAATACTATTGTTTGAAATTTGACAATTAGTAATTATTGTCAAATTTAAGAAGAAATTTTGGTTAATTTGTTTTGAGTGTAGTACCTTTTTTTGACCACTGGATGGCAGTATAAGACTGTTTGAACTGAATGATGGATAGTGAGAGAGCGAGCAGCGTGTCTCTAAGAAAAATGGGAGGGAGGCCCTTTGACATGACATGGGCTCTCTCTCCTTTCTTTTTTCGGTTCTCAAAATGGCGGACGCTCGGTGTGGTTTGAGCTCTTTAACATAGCATTTTTCACACAAAGCTTTTAATAAAAAAAAATAAAAAAAATCAGTTAACAAGTTCTCAGCTTCTTTTTGCAGAGAAAAACAACTTTTTACACAAAGGCACGAGTTTCAACCGTGAATTTTGGAGTAGGGATGCACCGATCCATTTTTTTGTTTGTTTTACTTCAGATCTGATACCGATACCTAAATCTGAATATCGGCCGATACCGCTCCGATATCATTATCATTATTGATTTTATATGAGGCTGTAATAATCTCTTCTCAAGTACAATTTGTACAAATATATGCATGCATGTCCAAAAAGGCAACTTGAGGTAAGTTTTATTAATGTTGGATAAGTTTCAAAGTTAGAATTAAATTCTGCTAACACAAAACATGTTTGTTTTTTATTCCTAGCTTTAAAGTGGATATTAAAGTGATTAAATGTTTTAAACATCTGCTAAGTTTATGGCATCAACCAACACAAACAGGTTACTGTTTTTAGTATTTTACATCACTTTATAATGTAGAAGTTTTTGTTTCGTTTACATATGTATATATATATATATATATATATAAAATTTTCTTGTATTTTTCAATTTATATGCTTTTTTTATGATTGTCTACTGTTGCACTGATAAATGTCTCCTGGAGGATAAACTATATCTTGGCTGCAAGTATCAAGCTGTGAAATCCTTCGTTTTCTACACCTGATAGTGGTTGATCATTAATTTGGGGGAGTGGTGGCGCAGAGGTTAGAGAAGGTGGGCCTGTGATCGGAAGATCGTCGGTTCAAGACCCCGTACCGACAACATCAAAAACGTGGGTGGGGTAGGTGAAGCACCCACACCTGCCCCCACCCTCATTCGCCCCACTCTAGGCCATGAGCAAGGCCCTTAACACCCATCTGCTCCCTAAACAGGTCTCTCTTGAAAATGAGTTCTCGTGGCTCAATGAGACTACCTGGATAAATAAATGGTAAATAAATAAAAAATTACGATGAAGTTTAGCAACTTCTTCATAAACATTTGAGCTACGTGGCTTCAGCGGCGTGTCCTTCTTGTTAAATCCGAAGCAGGCAGTCTGATTTCGGTCAGCCGCGCTCAGTCTGCTCCTCCGAGACGGGCAGACGGAGTGAGGCAGATAGAATGCGGCTGACCGAAATCAGACTGCCTGCTTCGGATTGAATGAGAAGAACACACTGCTGAAGCCACAGAGCTCGAATGTCCAACGTAAAACTTTACCGTGGTTTAATGTAGTTCTATGTTTGATTAAGTTTGTTGTATTATAGGTCGTGATGGAGCTTCCTCCTCTCGGTACAGCAGC